AGTAGGGTGGAGGCTCAGGGCTCAGGGCTCCTTCACTTTCAGATTCTTTCCTGCTCTCCAGGGGTAGTGATTTGCACAACTCCAGGGGGCGCTGTCCTAGCTGACAGCCTGCCTGCAACCAGCATCTGCCTGACTTCCACACGCAAACCAGCAAAACAGCTGGAGGGTCAGACACTGTCCCTTTATCTACAAATCTCCTTTGACTTGACTCGAAAGCCAGCAATGCTGATTGAAAGCAGAAGAGCAAAAGAAAAAAAGAGTGTCTGATGTGGGGGAGGGGAAGTGAAGGGTGCGTGTCTCATGGAGTTGGCCAACTGATGGGGACAGGCTTGGGTTACAGAGCTCTGAGGTGAGAGATCATGACACAAAGCAGAACCCACCAGTCCCCCTCTGGAGAGACCTGTGCCCACCAGAAGCAATCCCCTCGGGCCGGGGGTGGTCTCCATTTCCCCTCTTCCTTTTCCTCTCACTGTACACGTCCCGGAGCCCCGACATGCAGTCCCCGGATCTGCTTCAAATTGCCTCCAGGAGGCCTGGGGCGTCCCTCAGTCTCTCTCCTCGGCCCTGTCACAGCATCCAGGGTGTGAGGTGACAGATTTGGCTGTTCGCTCCCATAAAAGCACCAAGTCACCTCTGAATTTCCTGGGAAAAGAGGCCCCCTCTCTCCCTCTGTCCTCTTCCTACTTTACTCTTTTCCTAAACTTAGATTTTGGAGGGAAGGGTTTTCCAGTTGGGGGCAGAGTATAAGGGAGAAGAAGAAAGACTATTAAATGAGGCAGCAGGAAGAACAGGATCTGGGGGGAGGTGGTGTGGGGTGACCTCTCTGACTAATCCCTAGATCTCTGTGTTTGGGAAAGAGACTTGTTTTTACCTGTACGCAAACTCATATGCTCCACAGTTGACTGGCCTTTTCTGGCTTTTTAAAAAAATGGGGATCTTCCCTATCCCACCCTTCCCGCCGCCCCTACCGCTGTTTGCCTAGGAAGCCCCCGGGATCTCTGACTTGTCTGGTCTGCCCGTGTCTCCCTTTCGTGTGTGTGTGTGTGTGTGTGTGTGTGTGTGTGTGTGTGATTAAACAAAACAATTTTAAAGGGTTTATTTATTTATTTTTAGAGAAGGAGAGAGAGAAACTTCAATGTGCGGGGGAAACATCAGTCCGTTGCCTCTTCCATACCCCCAACTGGGGACCTGGGGACCCCGTCATGTGTCTTGACCGGGAGTCAACCAGTGACCTTCTGGTCTGTGATACAACACCCAATCCAGTCAGGGCAGTATGTGTGTAATTTTAAAAACATGTTTAATTTATTGATTAGAGAGAGAGAGAAATACCAACTCGTTCTACATACTCATGTACTCGTTGGTTGCTTCTTGTATGTCCCTTAACCAGGGATCAAACCTGCAACCTTGGCCTATTGGGATGGTGCTCCAACCCACTGAGCCACGTGGCCAGGGCCCACATTCCTTTCCTCTCAGGACCTCTGCCTCTTTCCAGACTTGGGGGGAGTTTTACCACAGGGGTTTGGGGAATGGATGGGCTGTTCTCTATCTCTGCTCTGAGTGCTCTCTGGCTCCTTGGCCACTGAAAGCATGTCCATCAGGCAGAAAGAAGGCTCTGGAGAAGCCTCCTCTGCTCAGGCCCAGCAGAGGCAGCCGCCGGTGGCCAGACCCGGCCTCCGCTCTCACACTTGCTCCCCAACCTTGCCGTACTTAATGAGAAGAGTAGCCAGGCTTCCTGCCTCTTTCAACTCCAAGTCTCATCCGGAATAGAGACTTCTGTTTTGTTTTGTCAAGCTACCCAGAGTCAAAGCAAACTGATATATAGCCCATTCCATCTCTCCCTTCATCTCTCAAGACGCAGCTCTGGCTTCCAAGACAATGGGTTTGAATCCTAGCTCTGTGCCTCTCACTGCCCAGGTGGCCCTCATCAGTTCTATAGCTTCTCCAAGTCTCCGTTAGCTCATTTCTCAAATGGGCATAATAATAGCACCTCTTAACTCAAGAACAGAATTAAATGAAATCACTGATGAAGAGTTCCTCAAAACATGCCTAGCCCATGGTAAGGGCTCAGCTCAAATGATCAGCATTGAATATTGGGAACCAACTCCTTTTCGAGTCTTTCCTGTCCTGGCTTTTGCAACCTCACTACATCCAGATGACCTCTGACCTCGGTCTTCTCTATCTCATTGCCGTTCTGATCCTAGTCTTTGCTCTTTTCAACTTACTTGGGGACTTCCTGTTGGCCTTGTACTTGGCTCATCACCTTGTGGAATCTCCCTCATCCATCCCGTGACTACCCACTCTACGTGGGTCCCTTCTCAATTGTCATCCCCAGCCCTCACCTCTCTGCAGCTAACTTCCTGTGACTCTTAAGTTCCACTGGGACTTCTCATGGGTTTAGACAAACCCAGTCTATCTAAAAACCAATTCATCATCTTCCCTGCAAATCAGAGGGAAATCCTCTCCGTTTCCCAGTGTGTGGCTCTGTTCTTGCAGTGACTGTGGTTCCGTCTTCTCCTGGATGCCCTTCCTCATCACCACTGCCTTCATCTCCCGAGACTCTGAGTCCGAAGCATCTCCCCATAATTATTTTCTTTCCAAGACCATCCTATGTGTCTAGTTCCTGAGTGCTTCATGCCTGTACTGTTCTAGTTTCTCCCTAACCTGCCCCCACTTTTCCCCACCAAGCTCCAAGTTCTCTGCCATCTGTTCTGCAGTGGACTGATTGGCTCCCACAGGTGGCCGGTGGGTGAGAGACAGCAATCTGGTCTCTCAGCTCATTGTATGAACTTAATTTCCTCATCGAATCACATGCTTCTGCACATGTGTAGTAGAGCTTTTTTGGTTTTATGTTCGCTCTAAGTCTGATCAAAACAATAGTTAAATAGCAATTGAAGACAAGTGATGTAAAAAATAAACAACGCAAAGACAAATATGTCCATGGGGATAGTTTTAAAACGTCTTTATTATGGAAATAATCGCACAAACACTAGAGGAGAGCAAATGGTGTCATACAAGGGAGTCTTAGATTTGAGAAAGCATCAGCATCTCAGAGCAGAAGCACCTAGCGCTCCCCTGATGCTAAGAGGAGGGACTTCTGGGAAGGCTTGTGAAGTTTGATTTGCATGATAATCCATGAGGGTCCCGGGTAAGGACCCACTTTAAGGTCCAGAAGAGTCAAAGTGTTATTGGAGCACTGAGAGGATAAGCTACAGCCGAGTGCAAAAAAGGTGGAGAAATTTCAGGTGCACTAATAATAGTAACCGTCAATATTATCATTAGCGTTGTTGTCTGGCATCATCTCCCACCTTCCCTTTGAGGCTTTGCCCCAGACCCTTAACAAGTGTAAGCTATAACAAAAAGAGCAGAAGAGCTGGTTCACAGAAGTATCCACGAAAACGACACTTTGATGTACAAACACATTCACCCCTCCACTGCTTCCTAAGCGTGCACTGCGGGGCTCAGCCGTGGGGATGCGCCAGCACGAAGCTCACAGTCAAGCAGGGGAGACAAAAATGCAGAGTAACGACCATGAAGGTCAGCAGGTGCTGTGGGTGGGCAGGTACAGAAGGTCACAGGGCCACATACTGGGGACACCTCACCTGAAGTTGAGGGTCAGGTGAGGCTTTGCGAAGGACATGGAAGCTATGTGGATGCCAGAGGTGAGTAGAAGTCAGCCAGGTAGAGAAAAAATTCCACACAGAGGGGAACAGGGTACACGAAAGTCCTTCAGGCAGAGAAGCATGACAAGTTTTGAGGAACTGAGAGGGGTTCAGCCTGAGCAGAGTATGGGCAGGATGCTGAGAGTCAGGGCTGGAGAGGGTACAATGAGCAGGATGTTGTAGACAGTGCATGTGAGTTTTGAGTTTACCCTAGGAGGCAAAGGAAAGCCAGGGGAGGGCCAGGGGAGGGTTTCGAATGCTGGTGTGTGGGGGTCAGACTTGAATATTGGAAGGACACTGGAAGGGAGCAAGACTAAGGCAGGGAACCCAGGGAGGAGGTTGCTGCACGTACCAAATGTGAGGTGATGGAGCCTGGGCTAGGCAGTGGAGGGGCAGAGAAATGGGTGGATCTGAGCAACAGCTGAGAGGACTCGTAATGGTCTGGATATACGACGGGAAGCAGAGAGGAAGGTTGAAGATAACTCCTAGGCTTCTGACTTGGACAAGTGGGAGGATGTGAGTGACGTCCTCTAAGTTTGAAAACACCCGGGGAAGTGGATGAGTCTGCTCGTGTGCACGTTAGGTTTGAGGTTCCTGAAAGACATCGAGTGGATGTGAATTTGGGGACCCTGGTCATCATCACCAGCAACGCCAAGAGAGCCTTGAGAAAATCAGTCAGATAGTTGGTGTGTTTATTTCTGCTGCGGTCTGGGATCTTTTGATTGTAAGGAAAGAAATTCACTCAGGCTAGCTCACATAAAATGTGGAATTGCGAGGATACAGAGCTTCAAGGGCTCGGCCCCTTGCAGGGCAGCTGTGAAGAGCGGAAGGGCTCTTCTGAGCCACACGGGGCAAGGTGGCCCTCGTTCCTTCATTTCCGCCTTCCTCCCCCCCGGGAAACCACCTTCTCTGCCTCCATCCTCCGTATCTTGGCGCCTTCTAGAGCTGACTCCTGCTCTTGCCCCCCAGTAAACCTAACCTCTGGATTGAAAAGCTTCTTGGGACTTCACATGTACACCTCTCCTTATGCAAATCCTTGGGAAGAAAGGATCTGACTGATACTAGGAAGTGAATGCCACGGGGGCTTCGGGTCAGGGGGCTTGGATCCTCCTCGGTCCGAGCAGTGATAGCGGCAGCCTGTGTGCGTGTGTCTCTGTGTATATGTGTGGTTGTGGGTATCTGCATGAGTGTATGTGTCTGTATGTGTGTATGTGTGTATGTGTGTATGTGAGCGGGGGTCAGCCCAGCTGCACTGTTGAGTACAGAACCTTTGGTTGGATACAATGTTGACACATTATTTACTTGTCTAACCTATTAAATGTTGGTTCTGCTGTTTTTCAGTGTTCCCTGTAGCAGGAAGAAAGAGCCTCCTGGGCGGGCGAAACTGCGTCCACATGCCTCCTTTCCCAGTAAGATGTTGGGAAGTTCGCATCTGCACTCGGGGCTTCCTTCCTCCGCTCTGTGAGGTCCTCGGTTGTCTACCTCTCCGGGAGGGAGAATGGAATGAGATGATGCTGGGAGATGCTTGGCCGGTGGCGGGAATCACTCGGCGACTGCTCCTTCCTTCCTCCTACTTCTCCTTTACGCTTGTTGTTCAAGTTACTGTTTTCTCAGAACACAGGAATTACACTTCAGTCACTTTTTAATACTGATTCTTATTCTTAATAAATGTTTATAGAATGATCATGTATTTTACTTCATTAAAAGTAGTTGTAATCACTCAGTGACATTTTGGAAAATTGAAATGAGGAAAAATCACTTACCTGTAATCCTGCCATCTAAATAAAACTCAAACTATTCAATGTATTTCTTTTCAGCTTTTTTTCTAGGCATTTTAAAATGAAATAGAATCATAATTTACACACAATAAAATTCAGTGTTTTAAAATATTTAAATGAATTATTTGTACTATACACACACACAGGGTCTGGCACAAATAATGCCTTTTTATTACAAAATCTTTTATTACAAAATCATGAGCATGTAATTCTGTAACATAACAACATCGCACTCAAGCACACCATGTGACATTTTAGGTGAAAAGTTCAAATTAAAACTATAAATTATTACACCCTTATTATTACCCAACCAACCACACTCAAGCAGGTGTGACTTCTGCCAGACCTTATACTTTAAAAGCACTGAATTTTCATAAATATGGAATATTGAGTAGCATCTCAGTGTAATTTCTCTGTTTTCTTTCCAGAACATATCACAAACGAGGCAATGTCCAGTTAGAACCAAATTTGATTCCAGTGAGTTACAAATATGTTCCAGGCGAGAGCTATGTCCATTCAATTGTACTTTGATCTGTTAGATTTAACGCAAGGCTAACGAGGCCGAGCCACAGGTTTTATTCTCCTCCCATGAGCCAATTAGCCTTCCCAACTACTGCAGCCACAGAGTTCACCTGAAGCTTGGTGACGTGAATGGCAGGGGTCACCAGGGAGACTGGAGGAGAACATGGAATGTTCACTGCAGACCCACTCCCAGTACCAGGCAGCCAATCCCTGGCTTCCTCTTTGAACCATTAGGTGGACTTGGACGAGGGATGCTTAATAGGCACATGTAGAATCTTTCATGATTGAAGAATTGTTGGATTCTAGAATGAAAGTTCTAGATGCAGCTAGAACAAAACTAGTCCAGATCTAGCTCTTTTCAAGGATGGTATGTGGGAAAAAAATCTCTCTAGCTTAGCATGAAATAGGGGTCCACAGTTTCAAATAAGGATGAAACCCAGAGAACTCTTTCAGGAGGCTTGCTTTCTTTCTACCACCGCCCCACTGGTAGTAATGGATAGCGACCAATTGAGCTATGACTTGAATGAATCTGGAGAAGACCCTGGAAAGTACTTGTGAGAGGCTGAAGGGATTAGGAAACCTAATCCCTGCCAGTGCAGGCCCTGGCAGGGTAGCTCAGTTGGTTGGAGCATCGTCCCTGTACACCAAGGTTGCAGGTTCAATCCCTGGTTGGGCCACATACAGGAGTCAACCAAAGAATGCATGGATAGGTGAAACAGCAAATTAATCTTTATCTCTCTCTAAAAATCAATAAAAATTTTAAAATGTTAGAAAAGGAAATGTGCCTATTAACCCATTTACCTGAGGTACTCTCAGAGCAGATACAAAAATTTCAAAAATACCATTTGAGAAAAATGTATCATGCTTCTGAGGAAACCTCCACAGTGACACTACATGTTTGCTGCTGAAAGTCTCCGCTGGGCTCTTCCAGTCTGCGCTCTGCCACCAGACGTTTTCCACGCACTGGCGCGCTTTTGACGACGGCGCCCACATACCCACCACTTTCTCCAGCTCCATGAAGAAGATGGGGACTGTGGGGAAATTCACGTCCGGCCTTGGTGGCTCCTTCTGCCCCGGGGACAGGGGTTGGTGCCGTATCGACTGCACACCTCGTCCTCAGTTTTGTGCTGAGTCCAGTCACTATCAGCCTTCTTGCTCTGGTGGTGGCCTCTTTTCTCTCCTGCTACTTTCTCCCACTGCTTACAAATCCCCCCCCCCCCAACAATACTCACCGGACTTCAAATCATTCCCTCAGCCCCTGAGGCAGACAGCACTGAGTCATTCTGGCTACCAGTGGAGTGGAGGATGTTGCAAAGAAGTACCATTGTGTGAGTTCAGGGTCAGAGATCCCGAAAGACTGCAGCTGTATTAAAGGGCCTCTGTGTTGGGGTTTCTCCTTTTAGCTCTGCAAAGGCATAAATTAAGGACTGCAAACTTGAAGATGTGGCAACAGAATACTAGTTTTTTAGTTTGCTGTATGTTTCAGTGAAATTCTTCTGTCTTCCAGGAATTCCAACACGAAGCTTTCCATATTTTTCACGTCAGCTCTATCCCCCCTCACCTTTGTTTTCCAGAGCTCCTGCTCCTGCCTTTCCTTAGCAGCCAACCACGTCATCATTCCATTTTTCTATTGGTTGTGACTGAAGTAGCTTGAGGTCAATGATTTCCCCAGCAATTGACAAAGAATCTTGACGAAGAGGAAAGTGACATCATCCCTTAAACAACACTGCTCCCTCCTCCCGCTGCCCTCCAGGTTGAGAGGAGGGCAGACTTTCTTTTTGCAAGCAGCCCAGCAGGGCAGTGGCGGAGGGGTCTGTGGAAGTGCGTGGGTAACATATGGCAAGTGGAGAAAATATTTATATTCATGGGGAAGGAGCAGAAGAAGGTCCAAACAAGGTCACTCCACAGAGATTTCAAGCAGGAGACTCCCAGACTTGATACTCTGTCTCCAGCCTGGATACAGCAGATAATTAAAGAGTTTTGTTTTGTTGCTTGTCCTGCCTCCTTTGCTTCTCTTAGTCTGACTTGGAGGCAGTTTTAAAAAAGGACTGTCTCTCTCCCTAAGCGCCATTAAAGCAAAGCACCACTGGATCTTCCCAGGGCCCTGCTGGGCTCCCAGCACCCTTCCTCCCCTCACTTTCCCTTCCCCCTCCCCCCCCCCCCCAGACCAGAATTCACAGCTTGCTCTGGTCACTCGGGTCTTGGGCCCATCAGGGTTTCCTCGCTTGGTTTTCGGATTGGGGCACCAGGTCAGAGAGCACACAGGCAAAGTGGGCATTTGGTAATTAACCGGTGTTAGATTACTCTCTGATGAGCCACGTGAAACCTCTCCTGCTTTTTCCAGGGCTTTCCAGCCGGCATTTTGCATCACAGCTTCCAAAGGAAGGTAAAGGGCCCTCTTCAGTCTCCCAGTGGGAAAACGCACACCGTCCCGCAGTGTTTTCCTTTCCAGGGCTCCCCCCCCGCCCCGGTGCAGACAGGTCCACGCAGTCCTTCCGACCGAGGACATGACCCACTACCCACGGGCGCCTGCGCCCTCGCCCTCGCGGCCCAGCGGCATCTTATCCGCAGGGGAGGCCCCTTCCCCTTCCCGCGTGGGAAGAGTTGACTCCCTCCAGGGTTGTGCTGGAAGACCTGCCCAGGGCCCAGGTGTGTGTGACTGGGTGCTTTGGGGGACTCCCCCTTTCCCCCAGCTCAGCAGAGCTCCGTGGCTCTGTTTTAACTCTCATTTGGCTTGGAAGCTTCTTCCTTGTCACCACTCCCACAGCTCCTGAGGGGCTCCGGGTCCTCGCTGGGGAGGAGTCGCCACACGGTGCCCTGGTGCAGAAGCCCAGGGACCAAAGGCCCGCTGACCGAGGCCACGCTTAATGGATTCTCGCAGATAAAAGAGCCGGGCTACCTTCCTTCCTATAATGGCCCCTGAGGCTAACGTCTTAAAGTGGAGACAAAGGGATTGTTTTACAGCACAAGGCAGTGGGGGCAGGGGCGCAGGGAGATGGAGATGGCCCCTGCTCTTAACCCTTGCCCTCCCGCGGCGGTGCCTCGCCTCCCACGACCGGGAACAGGGAAGGAGTCGGCTGCGCCGGAGGGGCAGCCCTGTTCTGCGGCCTAGGCCTGGTCGCACTCCCTTCCTCCCCTGGGCAGAGCTGACAAGCCCAGGGCACCCCTGCCTTGTGAGTGGCAGCTGGGAAAGTCAGTTCTGGGGGCTGTTTCTCAGGAGCGCCGAGTGACTCCTCCAGGACCCACGCGTGGCAGTGCGGTCACGGAGGGACCGGGCTCTAAGAGGTCTGGCGCGCAGAGACCCCGGGAAGGTCCTTCCGAAATGGCCTGCACCTGGCCCGTGGCAGTTCCCGGGGCTCTGCAGGTGTGAGTGGTGGCGGCAGCCGGCGTCTCTTACAGGAAGTTTACGTTTACAGAACCGAGAGGGAGAGAGGGAGACGGTCCCGGGCGCATCTGCTTCCTGGCTTTTTGTTCTGGCTTCAGGGAAGGATTAAAACAATAGTTAAATAGCAATTGAAGACAAGTGATGTAAAAAAATAAACAACGCAAAGACAAATATGTCCATGGGGATGGTTTTAAAAAGTCTTTATTATGGAAATAATCGCACAAACACTAGAGGAGAGCCAATGGTGTAATGCAAGGGGGTCTTAGATTTGAGAAAGCATCAGCATCTCAGGGCAGAAGCACCTAGCGCTCCCCTGAACACACAGATTGCCCAGCCCCACCCCACGGCCTTTTATTTAGTAGATTTGGGGTCTCTTCAGTCTGAGAATTTGCAACTTGTTAGAAGTTCCAGGTGCTGCTGCTGGAAGGGTCACTGCAATAACATCCACAAGTATCACAAATTTCCTGGCAACCCTCACCAGCTCCAAAACATACAACATTTACCCCATCGTGCTTCTCCTGTCTCCTCCCCTAACCTGTTCGGTTTGCTGGAGACTTTTAAGCAAATCCCAGGCCTCTTGCCCTTTCACCCATATGGGTGACCTTAAATTCAGTGGTCACTGAAGCCGAGAGGACCAAATGCTCTGAGAGGTACTGGAAAGCCTTTCCATGCTTCTAGTGAGTTTAGCCTGCCTTCTGGGCCGTTCACTGTAGGGCCAAGTCCAGGGCTGCTCTCCGTGAAAGCCACACGTGCATCCTGGTTCTGAGACCACCCTAAAGGAGTTCCTTGTCAGCAGACCTTGCCCGGTCCCCAGAATGCTGCTGGGTTTTCCAGCCAGCTGGCGCTGCCACCTGGAACCCATCCTGCAGCTCCTCGGTTTGTTGTCATGTACTCCCATGGCCACAAGGACCCGTAAGTGTTTTCCTAACAAGGAACCTTTCCCA